CTGTATATGATTTAACAGTTCATTTCTTGTTATATATCTAATTATCTTTATAAATAAATATATTAAATTATCAGCAATTTGGTTTCATCTCTCTAGAGAACCCTGTCTAACACATCATATGACTCATATTCAAAACTCACAGCCATCGAGTCAACGCCAACTCAGCAACCCTGAGTAGCAGGGTCGAATTTCCATGTGCGTTTCTGAGACTATCACTCTGTATGGGAGTAGAATGCTGTGTCCTTCTCCGGGGAGCAGCTGGTGGTTTCAAACTGCAGGATTGGAAGTTAGCAGCCCAAGAGATAATACAAAATATACACACAAATAAAATACACAATAATAGGGAGGGAGGATAAATGAAGTTAAAGTGCTCTAAGGGTTGTTCGTTTTTCCCCCTCTATAATTAGTAAAGAGTTAGTTCATAACATATTTTATAAAGTGAAGGATGCAAACTATGACATTTAGGACCTCCTCTCGCAGAATGTTAGAAACATATAAAATAGCCTACAAGAAATTTGAGGTGGGCCGCAGGGAGAGACCTAGCTCATCATCCAACAGAAGCTTAAATAAAGGGAGGAAAAGAAGAAAGCCACACACAAGTGGAGGGACAAACAGAAATAATGAATAAGAAGATAAATTTCATCTGATAAATATCAGTAATTACATGAAATATGAAGGGGCATATTTATTGTTTGGCAGGATAATTTTTTAAGCCTAACCACATGCGCCTTATAAGAGGTATGCATTCAATACCAGGATGTCAAAGAATCATGAAATGAATCATGAATGACTCAGAATTTGGACCTAGCAATTAGATGGTTGGCTGGCTTGCTTACTGTGATGAAGATGGAGGTTTACATGGCAAGAGGGTGGTTTGAGAGCTATATTTTGGACCTGTTGAATTGGAGGTGTCCCATGAAAATGGCTATATGCACTTGGAGTTCGGGGGAGATTGTCAGGGCTAGAGATAAAGTTTTGAGGTTCAATGGCAATATGTGAGAGATTTAAAACTACAGGACTAAATGAAGTCACCGATGGTCCAGTACTGCCATCTAGATTTTAAAATGTGTTTGGCAAGAGAGGAGGTGGCAAAAAGGGCTGAAAAGGAGTGGCCAGGAGGGTGTTACCTTGAAGATAAGTAAGAAAATAAAATGTTTCATTTATATTCTCTTTTTTTTAAGAGAATAAAATATGTTAAGAGGAAAAGAAGGTCAACTCTATTGCATGCTTCTAAAATTCAAACAAGTGAAGAAATGACCACTGAATTTGGTAAGATAGAAGTCGGTCGTGCAGTTGAGGGGGAGAAGAAGCTTACTGGAATGGATTGAAGACCAGATAGGGTGTGACATGAAGCCAATTACTACAGACAACTCTTCTAATTTGTCCTTCAAAAGAGGAACCAATTTAAAGAAAGAGAGGTTGTAGCAGAATTTTTAAACATGTCCATGAGTTGATGAGAGGAACTGAATGATTTTTAAAAGAAAGAATATAAAGGATAACAACTAGTTAATTCCAGGAGCAAAATTATTGAGAAAGAGGGGATGGGATCAAGAGGTCACGTGGAAAGTGTGTGCCTGCAAAGAAGCTGGGATGATTCATTAACTGTAACAATAGGCAAGCTGTCCAAACACGCACTGATCCTGGCAGAACGTTAGATCTGACACAAGACAATTAGGAAATTCCCATCGGAAGGTTTTTATTTTCTCAGTGAAGTGCGAGGTTATCACTGGAGAAGAGAAGGGGTGTGAAATGTCTGAAGGAAGAAGAACTCACGTTTTGAAAAGTAGGGGAGTGAGTATGGTTGGGGGGTAGAGCGAGTATGGTTGGAGGGTAGAGCGAGTATGGTTGGAGGGTAGAGCGAGTATGGGTGGGGGGTAGAGCGAGTATGGGTGGGGGGTAGAGCGAGTATGGTTGGGGGGTAGAGTGAGTATGGTTGGGGGGTAGAGTGAGTATGGTTGGAGGGTAAAGTGAGTATGGTTGGGGGGTAGAACCAGTACAGTAAGAGGACTGGTTTGAGAACTGTGCTAAGGACGTAGTAGTAAGAAAAATTTTTCTCTAGTATCTGCTTGAATTTAGGCAGAGTTGGCAAATAGCTGAATCTAACTGGGTTGGCATCACCAACTCGTCCATAAGGATACCTTTCCCTTTTGCTGGTGTAGCATAAAGGCTGAGAGCCTGGACTGCAGTTCAGATCCTGGCCCCACCCCTTGCCAGTTCTATGGCCTGGGATAAGTTACTTGTCCTCTCCATGCCTTGGTTTCTTCATGTGAAACGGAGATAACAAAAGCACTTATTTAATCAGTCACTTAGAATGTTGCCTGGCACAAAACAAGCCAAACCCGCTGCCATTGAGTCAACCCTGACTCATAGTAATCCTACAGGACAGAGCAAAAGTGCCCCCAGAGAGCTTCCATGCTTGAAACCTTTATGGAAGCAGACTGCCACACCCTTCACCCTGAGAAAGGCTAATGAGTTTGAACCTCTGACCAATGAAGTTTTTGTTAGCATCCAAGTACTTAACCATTACACCATAAGATGACTTTACAAATAGGCAGGGTTGCCATATTTAGCCAGTGAAAATACAGGATGCCCAGTTAGATTTGGATCCAAGAATATACTTACGCATATGTATAAGTATAAATGTGTCCCATGTAATATTTCCCCACTCGTCTGTCTGTCAGATTGTGGTGGCTTGTGTGTTGCTATGATGCTAGAAGCTATACCCTTATGTATTAGTCTGGGTACTTTAGAGAAACAAATCCACAGAAACTCATGTATAAGAGAGTTCTATAGAAAGGTTAAGTGTGCATCAAGAAAACATCCTAACCCAGTGCTGCCCAAGCCTACAAGTCCAACATTAACCCATTAACCCATATGTCCGACACCAATCCACAAAGTCCTCCTCCATCTCACAAAACAGACGCAATGACACCGACTGCAGGAGGAAAGCAGAGTCAGTGAACATGTAAACATCTCAGCGCTGGCAGGGGTCTCCACACGGCTGCTCCAGCACCCAGGGCTGCATCAGGGTAGGTCCACATGGCTTCTCCTTGGGAATGTCTTGCAAGAAGTCAGCCTTGCAAACTGAAGCAGGGAACTGCTAAGGCAGCTGTACCCTGGTGCGACCATCACAAAGCAAGAGACCTGAGAACTCGAAAGGCAAGGCTCACCAAGCCATTTATCCCTCTACCCTTCAATTAACCGCACATGTGTTTATCAGTCAGGTTGGCACAATAAGCTAACTCACCTTGGTATTTCAAATAGCAGCAGGTGAGCAGGTTTCACTGGACTTTACAGACTAAGATCAAGCTAGGAATATGGAAGGAATAAGTGGTCTTCTTCCGAGGGATTAGCCATGGAAGACCTTACCAATAGCAATGAAACATTGTCGGGCACAGTGTCGGAAGATGAGCCTCTCAGGTGGAAAGGTACTCAAAATACGACCGGGAAAGAGCTACCTACTTAACGTAGCCCGCGTCTGTGGTCATCAAGTCAATTCTGACTCTAGCTTCCCTCTAGCATTTCCAACACCCTGAATCTATATGGGCACAGACAGCCTCATCCCTCTCCTGCAGGGTGACTAGTGAGTTTAAACCACTGGCCTTGCAGTTAGCAGGTCAAGGCCTAGGCAACAATAACTGTTTCATAAAATGCATAAAGGATAAGGGCACTAATAATGGAGTTATGTGACTTTCCGTCCTTCATGCTACCAACCCTCATCCCTCCTTAAGGTAACAGGCCTATGCTAGTCAGTCTACTGGCCTCGCCAAAGACCTGGGGCCAGTTATAAATTAGGAAGAACCTTTCACATATAGTTTTGTCAATTATTATTATTATTTTGGATAATTAAATCGAAAATTGTGACAAATTTCTAAAAAAAAAAAGAAGAGGAAGAAATCTTGCTTTGCAATACAGAGAAAAGAAATGTTCTGTGTTAGAACTTAAAAATATATCATTGAAGGATGTGCTCCCAAAACTTCATGGCCCTCCCTGGTACTTGTTTCCCATTAGTCATTTTTCCCTTCTTCCACATTGGCTAAACTCCAATTTTGTTCAGGGTAACGTGCCCATTTAAAAACAATCATCTTCCCAGACTCCCATACACCATGTTTCTTCATAAATAACAATGACCTCAACCTTTGTTCACCAACTACACCCTTCCCATCCACCCTGGGGTATTTGTGTAAGCAGTTCTCTGTCCACTTTTTCACATGCTACTGTAAACATAAACTTTCAAATACATTTCCTACAACATATGGGGAGAGAGGGAGAAATGGTTGGCCAACCAATGTTGAAGGCAGTTGTTATTTATGGAAAAATAGAGTCACCGCATACACAGCTCTAGATGTGAGAAAAAGTCTACCTCTAATTTCAAAATTAAAAAAACAACAAAGCTACCAGGAAAATGCCTTTTATATAACCCTGTACCCTTCAATCTTTCACTCTTCCCTTGAGACCTGCCTGGGACCTGTAGACTGATCATAGATGATAACCGGGGAAACTAGATTTGTACTACAGATTTGTAGAAGATGTTCAGAGGGTGTACAAACTAGTGTCACTCACTTCCATTCATCAAAACTCGCACTTTCAATAGTAAGTAATGAAATAGTAGGTAATGAAGTAAACCTGACTGCAAGAGTAAGTAAGGCACTGGCTATAACTTACACTGGATGAGAGCTGAGATTTAACAGACTGTATTTGTTACAAATGTCACTCACCAAAGAAACCCAGAACTTCCCTGGGTGAGAGTAAAACCCACAGAGGATGTGGCTGGGCGTGGGTGGAATGACGATTTCAGGTAGTGGCTTCTCTTCTTCCTCTTGCTTCTGCGCCTGCTCTTCCTGAAAGACTTTTTCTCCTTCTTCTCCCAACTCTTCTATTAGTTGCTTCCTCCTTTTTTCCTTTGCCTCCTCCTCCAACTCCTTGATTTTCTTTCTCTTTTCGATTTCTATGAATCTCTTTTTTTTAAAAAGAGACATTAAGAAGATGTCAAAAAACACCTGTATAACTCAGATTCCTTTATTACACTTTTAAGGATGGGCAAAGAAACTAGAAAAAAGGAAAAGCCTCACAACTTTGGTAGAATCAATTTTAAAACAATGATTAATTTGGGGGAATATTTTTATTATTCAAACATTCAGCCATTGGAATGACCACCATTTCTGTTTTACTCCCATCAATCCTTGCTTGATACAAATTGTTCAGTTATTCTTATCTTCATAAAGAAGGCAAATACAGTTCTTCAAAGAGCTTATCACTATCAACATTGACTTGGGCAAGCTGAAATGGTCCAGAAGAGGAGTGGCTGCCACCTTTAATAATGCTGCTCTTTAGGCCACTGCAACAGACTACGAACACAGGTCTCCCGACCTCCCAGATTCCACCTCTCCATTTCATTTACCTTCCAGAATCATTTTCTGAATGTACAAGAGCTCATCACAGGAGTCCCTTCCCCAGAAACTCACAGTGGTTCCCGTGAGCTAGGAATGTAATCAGGAGGCCTTGAAAGGCACTAAAGAGCACCTTGTGCTGGTTAGACCCCTCACACACACCCCACAAACTGTTCCCTTCACTTCATTAGGCCCATTCTTCATTTCCTTAAAACATGAATGTCTCACCACTCTGCCTTCCCTCAGGCTGGTCTCTCCACCTTTAGTGCCTCCCCCCTCGTTTCCATACTCTCAAAACCCTTCCCATTTTAAAAGAACTGATGTCACCCCTATGGTACCCATGTTTCACCTCTGCCCACCCCTTCATCAGAGCCACATCCCCTGCCTGCTGCATAGCCCTGAGGTTCCGTTCTTTGCATGCTGGTACTAATTCACTTCTAAAACAGCCGCTTTCTTACAAGCGTATCTGCTCCTCAAGGTCACGGTCTATATGGTGTTCTTCATATTCCCCAGCATACAACAAGATATTTGACAGTGCTTCAAGATAATCATCACATACCAGAATTTTGGACTTGACGCTTATGAAATGGAAATATTTTATGTTTATATTTTTTATTTCATAGGAAACTATGTCATGGTCCTCTACATCCTCCCTTATGGTTGGAACGGGAGCTTCAAGGACATAGCCATTATCACAGAAAATCAGAAGAGTACTTCTAGGCTTAAAAACAAAAACAAAGAGTTAACCTGTGATTTACATTTGGCAGATTTTTAGAAGCATAGTTCAAAAGGTTATAAATCAGGAAAAATAAAAGTGCTACACATTTTCCAAAAGATATTTGATCCCTCACTGCAGGTATTACTGCTAAAATTTTCTATATTAAAATGAGCTTTGTAATTTTTTTTTCTGAATCAAAAATATTGTTCTGACCTGTTTAGATCGACAAAAAAATATTGAATAAATAAGATCAGCAAGGAACATCTGCAGCTGTGGGTGGCACACTCTGTCTGAGCCCCAGGTAGTAGCTCACTGGCTGTCAGCCTTAGTGCACGCTACATGAAGTTCCCCAAGGCTTTTATACTCATTTCCCTCCCCTTCTCTTTCAATAACTACCGCCTCTCTATCAATAACCTCCCCCTCTCTCTAACTTTGTAAACTCCCTCTCTGTTTATCATCTTCCTCGCTATATATAATAACGCTCTCTGGAAAACCTTATAAACAACCCAGGCTCGCTGCCATTCACATGCAATTAGATTCCAAATTAATCTCTCCAGCCCACACTTTTCTCTTGAGCAACAAAACCACAGATTCATATTTAATATGTGGAAAATCCCATCTATATATTCCAAAGCACATTGTTCAAATGTTTATTCATTTATTAATTCATTCAGTTACTTCATTCTACAACTATGCATTACTTGTACCTACCATGTGCCTGGCATTTAGTTAAATGCTGGGGATAAAATTAGAAAAATAAAAATTGGTAGTCTCGGCCCTTATGGAACTTACCACCCATCATTTAACCAATCCTATGACTAAATGGAAAGTAGAACCATGACAATTCCTGCAGAGGTGCCATGGAAACAAGGCTTCCTGAAAAGGTAGGACCTGCAGATAACTACAGGACTACGTAGGGGAGAGTCAGAGGGAGCATTCTACCTAATGGAGTACCTTGTGCAAATGTCTTGTGTCAGGAGGCTGGACATACAAGGTCAAGTGTACCTGGAGGGCTAGAGAGAGCAGTTGGAGGCGGACTGAAGTACAGATGAATAAAGCAGAGGTGGGGGATCACGTATTGCTCTGCAGGCAAGATAAAAGGTTTTGATCTTTAGCTTCAGAACAATAGAAAGCCTTGGTGGGGCTAAAAGCAGAAGCTAAAAGTTTCACACTTTGAAAGAAATGTTTTGGCAACACAGTGAAGGATAAGTTGTAGAGAACAAAAAGGGGTGAGAGGAGAGGTAATGACAATAGTCTGAGATGGCGAGGGCTTAGACCAGGCCAATGGGGATAAGATTTGAAGATGCTTAGGAAGTAAATATACATTGAAGATGTTTAGGAGGTAAAAATCAATAATACCTTAAAGCTTAGGATGTCACGTAAAATGAAAATATTAATAACAGCTCTCAGACACTTGAATGAAGCAGTTGACTAAATGGTGATAGCATTGGATAAGATAAGGAGTATAAGATGACTTGTGGGATGATGATCACAGATTAGTTTGGACCTGTTTCTTTGAACTGTCCTTGAATCCTGTAAGTGGCAATGTCGATTAGGAAATCAAGTATACATTTCTGGGCCTAGAGTAGAAGTCTTGGACTGTGTATAGAATTTGGGAGTTAGAAAAGTGTTGGCTTGGATGGCATCACCAGGAGCAGGAATACAGAGTGAGGGAATTGGTATCAAGCCTCAGTCCATGGTTGGATGGAGAAGACTGAGAAGAAATAGCAAGATGGGGAGGAGGGACTCCTCAAAGAGCACGGCGTCATGAGTCAAAGGGAGATGGTGTTTCAGAGAGCAAGGACCTCTCAACACGATCGAATGAGGCTAAGAAATCAAGAACGGTAAGGGGTGAGAATGGCACCAGGGCATCATGGGTGTCCTGAGAATAGCAGATGTGGTGGAATGATGAGCCGAGGCATTGGAGAGAAGCATGTAATGGAGAATAAGATGTGAGAAAGCAGGGTCCACGGGGAAAAGTCAACTCCTTGGGGAAAGCACGCTAAGAAAACATGAGGCCAAGGAAAGCTCAGCTTTCTTTGTACATGAAAAAACTTGAATGCATTTCAATACTGATGGAAATCATTTAGGAGAGGTAACTTTATGTGATAGAAAAGGGGGGGGTAAATCGTGTGAAATCTTGGGGTGGGGCAAGGGCGTGATAATGAAATTCAAAGGATAAGAAGCCAAATTTGTCTCCCGTAGGACTGGACACAGCTCATGTGTTCCAAAGAGAGAATTTTATGTTAGTTAATGGGAAGTTGAAGGCATTCCTGCCTGAGTTCTTTGCTGGCTTTTCCTTGAAATAAGTGGTGCTTGCAAGTGAGGTTGGAAGCGGGAGTCCTGACGCTCTGAAAGGAAGAGAAAGCATCAAAATAATGTCCCTTGTGGCGAAACAGGTTGCTGAGAAGAGCAATGTGTCGGTCTGCTGAGCCACCCTCTACATGGCAGGGAGGCCACTTGAATCACTAAATCACAAAGGAGCTAACTTCTCTCTTCTATGACTCTTCTCGGAAGCTCTTGCCCGACCGTTGCAGGGAAATAAAGATCAATTGGGTGCATTCAGAAGGAGGTTTTCGCCAGATGAGTCTGAAGACAAAACAGGACAAGGGACATCAGAGCACTGTCAGCATGTTCTTGATCCTTTCCAAAAGGAAGAGTTATTAACTTTAAGCTGAATCTGAAGGGAAGGCTTGAATAGGAATGATAAGTTAGAAAATGCAAAGAGATGAACCAATCAAAGACCCTGGTGCCATCAGAGAACTACACGGACTCCCAACATGATCACTGAAGACAAATGGGTGCATAAGCAAATGTGGTGAAGAAAACTGATGGTGCCCGGCTATCAAAAGATACAGCGTCTGGGGTCTTAAAGGCTTGAAGATAAGCAAGTGGCCATCTAGCTCGGAAGCAACAAAGCCCACATGGAAGAAGCACACCAGCCTGTGTGATCACGAAGTGTCCAAGGGATCAGTTATCAGGCATCAAAGAACAAAAAATAATATCATTGTGGATGAGGGGAGTGTGGAATGGAGACACAAAGCCCATCTGTAGGCAACTGGACATCCCCTTACAGAAGGGTAGCGGGGAGGAGACGAGCTGGTCAGGGTGCAGCGTAGCAACAATGAAACATACAACTTTCCTCTAGTTCTTTAATGCCCTCGACCCCCACTATCATGATCCCAATTCTATCTTACAAAACTGGCTAGACCAGAGGATGTACGCTGGTACACATAGGAACTGTAAACACAGGGAATCCCGGACAGATAAAACCCTCAGGACCAGTTATGAGAGTGGCAATACTGGGAGGATGGAAGGAGGTGGGGCAGAAAGGGGAAACTGATCACAAGGATCTACATATAATCCCCTCCCTGGGGGGTGGACGGACAACAGAAAAGTGGGTGATGGGAGACATTGGACAGTGTAAGACATGACAAAATAATAATAATTTATAAATTATTAAGGATTCGTGAGGGAGTGGGGACAGGGAGGGAGGGGGAAAATGAAGAGCTCAAGTAGAAAACAAATGTTTTGAGAATGATGATGGCAACAAATGTACAAATGTGCTTGACGCAATGGATGTGTGTGTGCATTGTGATAAGAGTTATACGAGCCCCCAATAAAATAATTAAAAAAGAGAGAGAAAGAGAACTATAGGGACAGATGGGGACAAATGAACAGGCTGAAAGGCAGAGATTGAAGTTAAAGAGTTGAATAGTTAAGTAGCTGATATTTAATATTGAGCCCTTAGAAATGATAATACCGCCCCAGTGGGCAGCAGATGAGAGTGTGGGGGTGAATTGCAAAGATCACGGAAGATAAATGAGTCACTAAGTGAAGAGGCTGATGGTGAGTTGGACTAAGAACTCACAGACTGCTGATACCGCTCAGAAAAGCTTTCTATCGCTGCATCCTGCGGCCCCACTGAGGGCTCCGGAGTTGGGCCAAGATTCCAACTTTCGTGCTCTGTCAGATCACTTTATTATGTAGGAATTTAGACTTAAGCATGAAGAAAATCAAGAATTACTTACATGAGAGGTTGGAGACCATACTAACTGACAAACAGGTCCGGGAGTAGTAATATAACCAATTGGTTTATAATCCTTTTCCACTTCAAAGAAGAAGACGGTGTGATCTTTACTCTAAGAGAAGAGAGATACCCCCACCAAGTGCATATTACTCTGAAATCTATTCCGTTGAGCAAAATAAAGCTTTCAACAGCATCTAGCACAACCACAAGTACTGTTTACTTACACCCAGTGAGTACGTGTCCCAGGTTCTTCTAAGAGATTCCTTACTTTCTACATATAACCTCCTCTCTGGGGGACGGGCAGCAGAGGATGGGTGAAGGGAGATGCCGGGCAGTTAAGATATAATAATAATTTATAAATTTTTAAGGGTTCATGGGGGAGGGGAAGGGGGAAGGGGAAAAAAGGAAATGAGCTGATTCCAGGAACCCAAGAGGAAAGCGAATTTTGAGAATGATGAGGGCAACAAATGTATAGGTGTGCTTTACACAATTGATCTATAATTGATCTATGTATTGTGATGAATTGTATGAGCCCCAATAAAATGATTAAATAAAAATTTAAAAAAATATATTTGCTACCTAGTCCCCATAAAATGAACCCTGGTAGTGTAGTGGTCTGCACCCTGGTGGAACTGCAAGGTCAGCAGTTCAAAACCACTGTCTCTCAGGAGAAACATGCGGCTTTCTACTACCATAATGAGTTACCGTCTCAGAAACCTACTGGGGCAGTTTTACCTTGTCCTACAGGGACATGATGCGTTAGAGTCGACTTGATGGTGGTGAGATTAGTCTCCATGAGACCACTTGACACACCTTATGCTCTAGTCTACGAGACGATGATCACCACATTTATACACAAGATTTTCACAGGACAAAAGCCACAAAACCTATCTTCTCCTATTAATGAACACATGTTTCCCACATTTACTCTCTTAATATATGGCAATTCTATAGGCCAGCGGTTCTCAGCCTGTGGGTTGCAGCAACCCCTTTGGGGGTCAAACGACCCTTTCACCAGGGTCGTCCGATTCATAACAGTAGCAAAATTACAGTTTGAAGTAGCAACGGAAATAATTTTATGGTTGGGGGTGGTCATCACAACTCAAGGAACTGTATTAAAGGGTTGCAGCATTAGGAAGGTTGAGAACCACTGCTCTAAACAAATAGAAAAGAAAACCTATTGCTGAAAAAAAATCACTGAAACATTTTAATATGACATCTCCCATGATTCTGAAATTTTTCTATTCATTTAAAATAAGGAAAGCATTACAACTCAATTTGCAAACACATTTTAAAATACTGCATAGGCTACAGTAAAAGACTATGAACATAAAAAACCCAAAGAAAGAAACATGGACTATTTCTTAGACAATGAATATCAATCAAGGAGGCAGGATCAAATAGGAAAATGTATTAAGGCAAGATTAACCATGAGATTTTCATAGGAAACAAAAGGAAATACACTATTTACCGCTGTGGCTAGAATTTCTCCATCACGATCATAAGCTAACGCAGTAACACGTGTAGTGTGAGGTTTGAATGCCTGTTTCAGTTGAATCTCTGCATCCAAAATTTTCTTCCGTCCTGCAAAAATTGTGAGCTCTTTTGGATCATAAAGTTCAAGAATTCGGACAACTCCATCTTCAAATCCTGCAATGATCTGTGCTCCAGTATAGTTTACCTTGATAAGAATAAGTGCAAAGGATCTGAAATTAACCCAGAAAGCAACAGAAGCCCCTGCTGCTGCTGTACTTTTCTTTTGACCGAAGTAATTTAGCATGGGTTGTCCATTGATAATTCCTTATACCACTCTCTGGGGACTCCCAGCTGTTCTAAGACAGTTCCTTCTCTCTGCTGACCGTGAGATATGTAGGCAATGCAGTTCAGAGACTCGTGGAGCAAATGTGGATGGAGTGCCTGCCTGTCTCATGCCGGCCACCTATTACCAGCAACCCAACAGGGAGCAGAAAAAGACGCCTGCTCTCCCACGGAGTTTACTGTTTAGTGGAGGGGACAAACATCACTCAGTCCCACCAGTGAGTGTGGGCTTCCAAACGGAAATAAGTACCAATGAAAAGAACCCTCTCCTCTGAGAAGACATAAAGTAGACCTAAATCAGGCTCCCCTACATAAGAGACGGCAGAACTGAGATCATCAGGATGCTGTTTGTTATCCAGTCCTGCTCGAACACAAATACCACAAGTGGGTAACAAACAAAAAAATTTTTTCTCCCAGTGACTCATTTCCTCAAGGTGTTGGTTATGGCTAAGAAGTTTTCATAACTCTGGCCCCTGTATGCTCCATTATATTCAGAGATATAATTGCAGCACAAGACATTCTGGTGGCATTGTTGGTTAGGCATTGGGTGGCTAAGCTCCATGTTGGTGGTTCAAACCCACCAGCTCCTTCACGGGAGAAAGATGAGGTTGTATGTGCTTGTGAACATGTAGTCTTGGGAATCCTATATAGAGTAGCTATGAATCTGAATCGACTTTTTGTTTGTTTGTTTGTATATGTAGCACATATAAAAAACGTGTCAAAATATCCCAGCAGAAAGGGTCTTTACCCAACATTTGCCAAGGGTCTAAAATGGATCAGTGCCTCTCAAGGCACTTGAGTTTCAGAGAAGAATAAGGCACAGGTACCACCATAAACTCTAAACAGCATAATAGGAGAAGAAGACAATAAAGTAAATAATCTTACTGCTCTGTGAGAAGTACACAGTCATGGGGAAACAATCACAGAGGAGAGTGTACTTATCTCTGCTTGCAGGCCGGGTCAAGATAGGCTCAGAAGAGGAGGTGATGTTTGACCTGAGCTGAGTGGTAAAATATGATCTTGAGTCTTCCAGAAAGACAAAGGAGTGTGGAGAAACCAATCCCATTCTAGCACAATCTCCAAATGGAAATCACACAGACATCCAGTTAGAAAAGGAAACTATCTCTGGACCCTTGCTTTGCAATGCTTTAAAGATGTCTGGTGCAGCATATTGAAAGGACCATGGACTGTCAACAGAACCAACAGATCTGGCTCAGAAGAAGTACAGCTAGAATGTTCCTAGACACAAAAATGGCAAGACTTTGTCTTATAGACTTTGGACATGTTATCGAGAGCCCAGTCCCTGGAGAAGGACATTATTATTGAGGGGAGGGGGGGAGGAAGACACTCCCCAAGATGGAGTGACCCATGGGCTGCAACAATGAGCTCAAATGGAACAACTGGCGGGATGGCACAGCTGTTGTACACAGATTTTGCTTTTGTTCAGTTGTACACAGGATCATTATGAATCAGAGCCAGCTCGCTTGGCAGCCCGTAACAACATCTGTGGGTACCACACAACCATCTGGGGGGAAAAAATGTGTCAGCTATTTGGACTGCCTCTTATAGAATTCAGGTAGGAGTGTCTATAGACTTGGACAGAGAATGGCAATCTTGGTATTCCATGGTTTATACTTATTCCATCCTCAGTGTTCGGGCTGTGTTCTCTGGCATGGCTTCTCCTTTGAGTCTTGACCCCATCATAGACTTCCCCTCTGTCACAGCCATCTCCACATCTATTTGGGCCAGGAACATTTTCTCTTTGATTTAATCCCAAATTTTCAAGACAAAACTCCCCCAGACATATTTAAAACATATTGAAAAGCTGCAAAGTCTTTGACCTATCTTCCATGAAGAGATGACTATTAAGTCTCCTTCCCTTGAATTTGGTGGGGCTTCTGACTGGTCCAGTTGATAAGAGTATTACAGAGGTGCCATGAAGCGGCATTTGAGGCTAGGTCATGAAAGGTCATGTAGCTTCCATCTTGTTTGTTGAAGCACTACATGTAAGAAGTGTGACTAGCTTCAGGCCAACCCGAGCTACACGGAGAGCTACTATATATGCCTTTCTGTGAACAGTCCCAGCTTCACCCTGCCATCAAGACACCTGAGCTCAGATCCAGACTGGTGATAAAGAAGCCTCTCCAGGACTCTAGGCCCCAGTCACTTAAGTATTTCCAGCTGAGACCTCTGATGCTAAAAAGTACAGATAATCCATCCCTGCTGTGACCTATCTGATCCTCAATTCACAGGGTATGTGAGCCAAGCAAAATGATGGCTGTTTTGTGCCAAGACATTTGGGAATCATTTAGTACCCAGCAACAGATACCTAGAAAAACGACCTTGTCTGCCTTCCTTATTCCAACACACACACACACACACACACACACACACACACACACACACACAC